ATCCTTGCTAATGAAATACATTGCACATAAGTTACTCGTAGAGGTGTTTAGAAATTGTTGATTAAATCGCGTTTCACGTTTGTTGCTTCTTCCGATGAAAATGGGTCTGATGAACTTAACTAAATTAAGTGAACAATCATCAATATAATTAAATTCAAATGCTTGTTGATGAGAGTTAGAACTTTGTAATGAGGTATAAATAAAATTAATGAATGAACAAATGATTCTTGAAGATTGTAGATTTTCCAATTAATTGGAACCAGCTGAGGTAGCAGAGCTACCATCTGAGTGGCGGATCTTCTCTGAATATAGAAGTTGTTATCGGTCATATTGATCAGACAAACTATACTACTGAATACATATGGAAATGTATTTCAGTGTTCTATGGGTAAATATTGAAAGTAGCACGGATTTATCTATTTTAGGGAATATTCATTCAATCTCATGGAATAACATGTCAAAAAACCTAAATTTACTATTTCCATCGACTTCATTGAATTTATTTCGCTGATGAAGAAGTTCAACGAACAGAAATCGAATAAATACACGAAAAAAACAAAAATGCAATTTGAGGTTGCTCCATATTTGAACGAGAGATATATATTATTGAAATAAATGCTTTGAATCAATAATCAATTTATTCTATACTAACCTATTTGTGGGTGATTACTTGATTACCTAAAGCTGCGTCTGCAATAATGGTCCCAATGAAGAAACTTGCACAAAGTTAGCGTCATAATACTTGGATATAGTTACATTGAATTTGGGTTTATCACTTTGTTGTTATTCAATGAACAGAAAAATTGATTACATTTAATTTTTTTTCAAAGTTTGACAATAAAAACGTCCATATATTTCCGCCAATAGGCAGAAAAATATGACCGTGTTTATTGTCAAACTTTGAAAACTAATAAAATGCTTTCAACAAATGGGACACGAAAACAATTATGAACTGTTGTTTGCAAAAAATCATTTTAAAGTCAATCAAACGTAAACAAATGGATACATTTTGTGATGAAAACAATAACAACAATCAGAATTCATGGAAAATAATGAGCATTGTCGAAGTGAAAGGTGGAAATGCAGGGCGACTTCGATTACGAAAAATAAAATGAAGTATTTTCAAAAAGAAACAATGTAGGTATCCATATACAGTGGATGTATTGCATGTTGACCATTGAAAAAAATAAAATATGAGGAATTTCAACCTGAATGGATATTTCTATACAGAAATAATAGGCCAAAAACACGTATAAGAGGTCTGTTGAAAAAATAAGTTGAATTATCACTTTTTTTTAAAAACATTCATTTATTCATCAATTTCTGTTTTGTCCCGTTCAAAGTAGTCCATTTCAGATATAGTACACTCGTGTTAGGGATTTTTCCAATCCTTTAAGCAGTTCTGATATGAATTTTCCATCTCCTCAATTATCGCAAGACGCGTCTTTTTATGGGTATTTTCAATCACGGGGAAAGGAAAAATATGCATAGGGTCAAATTTGGTGAATACGGTGGCTGAGGCATCATTACCGTTTTGTTTCTCATCGAAAAATTACGAACAAGTAACTACGAGTGAGCAGGAGCACTATCCTGATGCAAAAGCCATAATTTTTTTCCACAATGCTCAATGCCACAATGCCAGAATTTCCACATCATAAAACTCCCTATTGACAGTACGACCATGAGAAAACTTTGACATTTGATGGAACTTGGCGTGTTTTTTTTGGTCTTGACTCTCCTGGGCTCTTTCATTGGAACGTTTGGATTTTGGTTTCGATGTTATAACCACAGACCCCTTATTCGTCACCAGTTGTGACCTTTTCAAGTAAATCTGGATCGCCGTTTACGTCATTTAACAATTCCTTAGCAATCTTCAAACAAGACTCAACATCTGACGGAAGTAAGAAACTCTTTCGAAGGTTAGAAATATATGAACATTTTAATCTAGCATTCCACTATTATAATATTCATGCAGTCTTTGTTCACTTTTATTCTGGCGTTGAATCTGGCCATTATTACTCATTGGTCATAAACGAAACGGCCTGGTTTAAGTTTGACGATAGTCGTGTCACGAAGTGTTCTGGCGGTGCATTGAATTTATTGGAGCCTCTGGAGACACCTTACATTTTGTTTTATGAGAGAGAGGACATTGGTAGATCCAGATCTTCAGATGATGTGGTGCTGCAGGTTTCTCCGGGTTTTCCTGCAGCTGAAAAAGCAAATGCGCCACTGGAATCGATGAACTCGCCCCGGAACGCCAATTAATTTTTATTGTTGTTTTTATTGTTATCGTTTTTGTCTTCAATATAATCAATAATTATTGTATTTTCAAAGTTATAGAGATTCAGAAACAGAGGGATGATTTCAATAGAGAAGAAGAAACAATGTACACTAATAAAATCTGGGTTCCTATCCTTGGTTGTACACAAACAAGGTTGGGTAATCCAATCAAGGAAAACCTAGCCGCACCCACCAATAATAATGAAAAACCGAAGTCAAATGCCACCTTTGTAGTTGCTGCGTTAAAAACAACAACTCAAGCACTGTCTACCGCAGTAGTAGACGAAACAACAGGCAGAACCACGGTCAAGAACCCGAAAAGTAGCTTTCTCACAATAAAAAAGCGTGTTTGAAGATAACCTTTCATTCAAATGCACTTTATTGGAAAAATACTTTCTTCAATTGTTTATGATCTAAGTTACCTTGTTACACAAGTTCATATGAACTTCTTTCATGAAATATGACAAGTTAACATCACCTGAGATTAAGTAAATCATTCAAGATACACTCTGTATATTTCAATAAATAATTTTCATTGTAGTTAGTTTCTTTACTCTAGCGATACAATTTCTATCCTCTTCAAAGTAGTCCCCCTCAGATGCGATATACTTGTGCCAGCATTGTTTCCATTTCTGACATGCACTTTTTGGTATATCTTTAAGCTCTCTCAGCGATTCGGTTTTCATCTCCCCAGTTGTCGCAAAACAACTTCCTTCAATCTTGGGGACAGGAAAAAGTCGCAAGTCTGGTGAGTACGGAGGCTGAGGCATGATTACGGTGTTGTTTTGGCCAAAAAACTACGATCAAGCAATGACGAGGGAGCAGGTGCACTATCGTGAAGCACCTCTTCCCAATGGAAGAGCTCTCCTGAGCTCTTCCATTGGGACGGTTGTACTTTGGGTTCACGCCCGCAGTGCGGGGAATAGCCACCAATCTACGACGTATCCATCACACTTCAAGCCAAGGCGTGCTGCTGACCACCAAACAGTACTGCCTTGATAGGATACGAATGCTAGTGACTGCTAAGAAGGTACTAGTGGGGCGAGCAAGAAGCATTGTGGAAAACCTTAGGTTCCGCAAGAAACCTTCTCGCTTATTCCAAGAGCCTCCACGTGTTGTGGATAATCCGCCGACCGCTGATCAGGTGGAATCCTTCTGGAAGGATATCTATGAACACCCGCAGCCACTCAACTTAGACACTCCAGCCCTAGCGCAGTTCGAAGCTTTCAACAGAGAGCTTCGACAGCCTGAGCCCAATGAACTGCGCAACCCGATAACCCCGGATGACGTTCGAAGGG